TACCTGGGCTGGGGAGCTGCATTCAAGATACGTGCCCTTGACCTTTCAGTCTGCAGGCTGATGCTCTAACTACTGAGAAAAACCAGCCAGGGTAAAGTTTTTTTTTGTTTTTTTTAATCAGTATTTGCTTGATGAAAATCTGAATGAATCTATAATTGCAATAACTTACTCAGGGTTATCCAGATACTGACACCAATGGTAGAAAGTTGATAGGGATCATTTACAATTTAACTGAGCATCCTTTGAATGTATGGCAGGATAGTGTGGTGTCAGAAAAATAGAAGGAGCAGGGTTAGAGGTCAGAGGACACTCCTTGCTCTGCTACTCTTATTAGCGGCTGTGTACCCTTGGACAAGTTATTTAACCTCTCTGAGCCTTGGTTTTGACTTCTGTAACATGAAGATAATAATGAATGTCCTGCCTTCCTCGGAACCACGAAAGTGTATTCATTCAACAAATATTTTTTGAACATCTACAATGTGCCAGGAATTGTGCTTATGGCCTTGAGGGCTCAGTGCTAAATATAGGACTCTGATGTGAGAAAGTAATATGTAAGAAAGACTTTGGGGAAAAAGCAAATTAGTAAGAGTAATAATAATCTCTGTATCAAAGTGCCTTTGAAAGTCTTTTTAAAACAAATCTTTTTACTTTGGAAGTGAAACAGCCATGAACAAAGTCTGACGAACCATTTTAATGCATGTTTATGTATGTTGTTTCCATATGGTTGTAAATTAAACCCTTTGGGATAATTACCTGGTTCATTATTTTTTCTGCTAAACCCCATTTCCTAAAAAGTTAGAGCTATAAAGGATCTTAAGGATCATCTGGTGTGTGACTCCTTCATATTACAGATAGAATAAAGATAAGATTCCTATATTTTATTTATTCTGAAAAGTTTGTTCACTCAATATTTTATCATTGTGTGGCCTTTTTTCTGACCTTACTGTTGGCATTTTGGCAGTAAACTGTAACTGAATACTACCTGTTTTTGACATCTAGGTAACCCTGAGATCACAGATGCAGGAATTGGATACCTCTTTTCTTTTAGAAAACTAAACTGCTTAGATATCTCTGGGACAGGGCTCAAGGTAGGACTTTTACTCCCTTCTCTTACTTTCTCACACTCACAATTTGATATTTTGCTTCTGTTAATTGGAGTTTAGAAAAGGCTGGTATTTATGATGGTGCTTCTTTCCTACTGAAAACTAGTACTAATTGACCAGATGTGTGAGCTTCCTGTTCTGTCTTTCCCT